AAAGTCCCAGTCTGGCGTCAAATTGAAAGGCAAATATTTCATCTGGGTTCAGGTAAACGACACGTTTTGTCCCCTTATCAGATTTCACAATAAAATAATGAAGCACGTAAGAAGACGCCAAACACGCCTTTCAATATGTCCAATCGCGCGAGAGTTTTTGTGACCATCGCGGTCCTTAGAAGGTGAGATGGACCAAATATAAAGATTAGGAAAAGGCAGTCAATGTGTCTTATGGCGAAAGGCTCCCGTTCGGGTAGCTCTGTCTCCTTCATGAACTTCGAGGGTGCAGTTTTTAACAAATAATTTCACTCCAACATTGTAGGACCTCTTTTTGCTATGGTCAACCGTCCTGGCTATACGTCGTAAACACACCGAGCTTAGCCATCTAGGAATTTTCGCTCATTCGCATTAAGTCACTGAAGGACAGGTAGTGTACTATAAAAATCCCACTCTAGAAAACAGTGAGCAAAACCGCGCTCTTTTAAAGCAGGTGAAGAATGTTTGCTTCTATGCTTTGTAATTTTAACCAATTTTAATCAATTAGGCAGTTAAAATTTCGTAAGTTTTGTTATACCTCAGTGGCTCCGCTGGCTACTCTGAATCGAAGAACATTAAAAAATGATGTGATTTCGCAGGTATCTTTCTTGAAGAAAAAAAAACAATATAAAATCCAAGACCTTTTTCCAGCTTGAATAAAAATTGAAAATGTCGTCTTCATGTTGCAGAGTGGATTAGGTTTTTTTAACGGCAAACCTCTCAACGCATCTGCTTCCATATTTTAGGAAAATTCTGATGAATTTAATCATTGGTCGTGCCCAGTTGGATCAACCAGTAGAATCGCTGATGTACTTGTTGGAGGTACGTTATTCTTGCCTATGACTGTGCTCATAAAACACATCACTTTATGGCGCGTGGGAGGAATACAGGGCTGTGCTACATAGGATATAACAGTTAGGGTTCCTCGTATAGCTGCCCAATGGCAAACGTTCTCCCCGCCCAAGTGTCTTACAGGATTTGTCGTCAAACGAAAATGAAAGAGTGGGGTATAACAAAGGTCTTATAAGTGCAGTTTAAATGCGCATTAAGGAATAAGTTAAAACCGCATGTGTTGCTTTTAGTGAACTTAAATGTAGATGAAATGATTGCGGAATAAACAATAAAGACTGAAAAAACGTATAGACCAGGAAAAATATCAAAATACTTCCTATTAGTTAACATACTCAAGCATGTGTTTATATAGGCGGAATTTCTACCTACCATAGTTGTTTCAATCATTGAAGCCCCCTGTTGGCGGCCATACAAGGAACTCTCTCTGGCATTACTTTCCAGTCTATATGCACTGTAATATTTTCAATCAGCCACTGCCTCCTTGGAACAAATGTCATTGGTTCTTGAAGTGTTTTTTTTCAGACTTTGATAATTCCTTCTTCGTATTCGTTGGAAATTGCCTTATAGAAACTTTTAACTTACTCCGAAAGGAACGACTTTCTGCGATGTTTAATTTCGGTTTCATTCTGTGAAAATACAGAACACTGACTTCAATAAAAGTTCATCACTCTGGGAAAAACTTTCTTTTTATATCTTTCCCAGGAAGAAACAATAGAATTTCGAATTGAACTATGGAGAATTGTTGCCAACAAATATACAGTCACCACAAAGAAACTCAGTGCCTATAGCATGGCCCTCAAACTGCTGAAGGCACGTTTGCTTTTGATTTTCTATCTAATTTCCATTGAATTTCACCGCTCAAAGTGAAACCGGAAATAATCTAGCAGTACCTGCATTACTAAATTTAATTTACTCATTGTTATGTGATCCATTTTCGCATTTTGGTTTGAAGGCATATGAGTCGACCTATAAGTACTCGCCAAGGTAATTTTTATAGTAATATTTCGGTAACGTTTGCAACACTTTTATTGCAAGTGATGAGATTCAGACTAAATCTACGCTTGACGGTAACCGCTTGCAAGGCACGTAGAAGGTATCTGAACATTAAATTTCGAAATGTTGTGTATCTACAGTTGGTTGGCATAGAACGTTTGCATTTTGCTTTACGAAACCCACTTCATTCTCTGTTAAGTATTATTATTTTGATAATCATAACTGGCACGTGTTTAAATAAAATGTCATTCCGTACATGCCGGATTGTCGAACGGTATTCTCAGTATACTTGCCCTATACATGAAACAGGGTTTGGCACAATTTGTGTGGCAAGGTGGGGCATCGAGATTACCTTATAGGGGATAAGTAAAGTAATAATGTAGACTTCAAAATAATCATCCCTAATTATAAACATCCATTTCGATTAATTTTGACGTGAAGTAGTTTTCTTAGACATCAATCATACGACCGGTATAATGCCTCTGAACTTCATCAAAAGTAATTGGAGCCTATAAACTTGTTCTGAGTATGGTAGCTTAGTTACTCAACGGCAAAATACTGGCCACGGGGAAAATTTTAGATTTGCATTCAGCAAGGAGTTCGGCTCCCTGAAGGAGTAGTGCTAATGCGGATATTCTTCATTCACACCAATAATCGTTCAGATGCTTGAGTTGGTGCATTTTATATGATAATGTG